GACCCCGATAACATCAGCTTTGGAAGGTCCCACTTATTACCTTAGGCACAGACACCGACACCGACAGGTCGTTGGCTACAGCCCACAATCAGCGTTGGATCATGGAGCTTCTACGGACCTCCCAAGGGGAAAATTCAGTTTTGTTTTGTTTATTGATTCATGCGTTCTGAAAACGTCAAGTGGAGCCACTAAATCATGCGGAACATTGGTTACAGCTTTGTAGGACGGAAAAGAATGAATTGACACTGTAATAAATTGTCACGGAACTGAGAACTGTTACCAAGGAAGACAAAAAAGAACTGAATGCCGTGTTGAAGAGAGAGGTGAAGACGGTGGAAATGAAATATGAAAGTGCAAATGTTTCCGGCAGATAAAAAAGGAATTTCGAGGTCGCTACAGCATCGCAGGTGATGTGTCAAAGTGCTGGTTGAGGAGTGCAAGTGTCATCGTTAAAGTGTAGAAACCACGTCGTCGTTGTCGAATCCTCTATCAAGGTCAGCAGATCGATCAGAGGGGCGAGCTGGGCGAGATGAAATGGCCGAAACTTGTTCGGTTGTTCGGAACGGGGACGGACGACGGACATCGTGTGCCCCGTGAAAATACGGGATTCCTCAAGCAATGGCTACGCCGCAGACCCATCGTTAGCTAATACAAACAAGTTTCGGACATTCTTAATAGCCCAGCTTAGCATACTGGTAGACGTCAAAGGCGTATAGTAGATGTTTCAGAGCTTACAACAACTACGGCGACCAAAAAATAGGCCGCCTCCCTCCATAGAGGTTTTAGGAGTATTTTTCCATAAGAATTCCATCATCATGACATCATCTGCGACGATAGGTTCAGTTCGTTTTATTGAGTCCCCCCCATTGTTCCTCCAGGGAGAACAACTAACTTCGAAGAAAAAAAAGAAGTCCGAGTACTAAATCGTTTATTCAATCGAAAATCATATGATGAGGCATTTGGTAGCGAATATTTGCAAAGACATTCATGAAACATTGTAATTGGACAGCAGACCCGAGCTTTAACGGTCACGTATGACGAGATGTATAGCCTGCATACATGGCCGTTTGGGCGGATACGAGTCCCAACACGAAGCCATAATTTTAGCCAACAGTTGAGGGCAGTCCTGCAATAAAATGAGCATCGGAAGTGATGGCTGCTGAATGTTTTGCTAGCTAATGGTCACCCATAGCCATGCGTATTGAGGTTGCCTAGAAGGCAATGATTACAGTAAAGGGCGCTATCGTAAGATACGGGGCATTGTGGTGACAATGCATTTAAAATCGCGTAAAACATGTCCTTTTTTGTTAAAAAAAAGGGGACTAAGCAATTAGGCGAAGGAGGACAGACTCCAAAATGTGTCAACCATTTTCATTCTCTCCGGCATCCTGCCCCCTCCAGGGTCTAGTCCCAGAGGACCACCCCGTATATTGCGATAGCGCCCAATAGAAGTTTTTCTTCACCAAGGAAGTTTAAGCACTACTAGAAGCAGGCAAAGGGAGCCAGTTGTGGTGCTTCTGCGGCGAAATTGGCGCTAGATGTAACGATACTAGGGTCTAAACATGAAACTGGTGCGCCCCTGCCAGACCGCTCCGCTCGGCGGTTTCACCATCTAGGGTCTCGGTTATTGGCGCAATCATCCGATAGTTGCTCTCGGTACTGAACCTTCGGCCCAAAGTTTCGCTCCAGTCAACAGTACTCATAAGTGTCGACGTAAAATACTAGGATCTCTTGGCAGACCCTCATGACTCCTCGCTAAAGGCTACCCTCCCAGAAACCAATCACCAGCAAATTACTGTAGTCGCTGCCTCCAGGGACTGAACACCCACTGGTGCACAGGAGTAAAGGAAGGTTGCATTTGCGATGGATTAGCTTTTTTTCGAGGTTACGCCAGTCATAATCGCATTGACCTCAGGTGCCGTATCTGGTCCGCACATCGAAGTACGAATGCCAATCAGATCACTGTTCTTATCTTCCGGGACAAATCCAGTGCCAGTTAAGGAAAACGATTATGATAAAGCATGCACATCGGGAAAGTGTAAGTGCCACACGAAGCAATAGCTTGACTTTCAAGGAAGAGATGTGTGGCGTTTTCACAACCAAAGGTGCTGATTGCTGAGCAGAACTTTGAAGCACACCGGCCTCAAAAGCGATCCGCCCATTAGTTTTGTTAATGATTATGACTGGGACGAATCTTTGACAACCGGGAACTGGGCAACTCGGCTGGAGATGTTTTGAGTAAGGCAGCCACAAACGCAGATGCGGTAAGCTCGTGCCGTCATGAGCGAAATCAAAGGCGCAACAGAACGTAAGCAAACCAGCCCTTTTGGCGTTTCTGCTGGAGCCGTATGCTGAGTGTTGGGCAGGAGATAGGGTCCCCGACGGTCGACGGACTACTTCAACTCGGTCGTTGAAGCCGCCCCATTATTAATGCTTACCACAGGACTAAGCTTAAAGAGGACGGACCCGCGCAGGTCCGTCCTCTCTCCAAGGCTTAGTCCTGGGTAAGCAAACCAGCCCTTTTGGCGGAGCTGCTGGACCTAGCTGCACCACTTCGTCATCACTCTCCTACCGTACCGACCGAGTTCAAGTAGTCCGTCGACCTCGGGGACCCCATCCCCTCCCCAACATTCAGCATACGGTCCCAGCAGAAACGCCAAAAGGGCTGGTTTGCTTACCTCGGCCAAACAGGGGGTCCGTTTTGCGGTTTCTTGACGGCTTTTGCTGTCTTTTTTTCGCCACTGGCGTCCCATTGAGCATACCAAAGTTCCCTTCACTCATGCTGAGCTCAGAGATGCGCAGCGGGCACTACTTTCGTTCAGGATCAATTAATCACTTCGATGTGTATTTGGCCTACACCATGGCACCAGAGCCAGTCATGCAGGGTTCAGAGATCTCCGCACCGTATTTCCTATCTCCTAAGTTGGTATCTAGGATATATAACCCCTTTCGACAGGTAAACTTGAGCTATGCAGGAGCCAATGGTTAGGTAGGAGTCTGCTTCAGGAAAGGTATCACCACTCAAGTAGCCGTTAGACATTGCGCAATCCCTCACACACGTTCAACTATTGTCACAATCATGAAAAGATCCAAAGGCACGGCGTATATTGAAGTTATTTTTCAGTATTTTTGGTTCTTGGTTATGGTAAAGTTCCTACCTTGGGGATGGGCATCCTGTACCCTTCATTTGATTACGACTTGCTTGACAACACTTGGTGACATTCCGGGATAAGGCTCGGCTGCATCTGTGTACACTTCCCACATCAGAATGCCTAAACTATGTGATACCAGATAATACGGTAAGGTAGGCGTTTGCCGTAGGTATACACTTACCAAATGACCACACATCGGACTTGAGAGTGTACTTGCGGTCGTTCAGCACCTCTGGCGCTTGCCATTTTACGGCTATTTGCATGGTTGGGGAGTCACGTTTCTCGCCAAGGTGCGCACATAGAGTGAAGCCCGAAATTTTTACCTGCTGGAATATTTTGGGCTTATTTCTTACTGAACGACTGAAAACTACTAACGACTCACCAAAGAATTGTTTAGCTTGCAATTCCGGGCCGCAATATCTCGATGGATACAGTTCGATTGAGCCAGATAGGATAGACCGGCTGCGGCTTCACATACAAACCGCCGCCTATCCCTAGCAGAAACTCGTCCAGGGTTCCGTTGCAGGTAGGTGAATAGTGACACTGAAAACAGTGGTCTAACCCTTTTTCCGTAGGGGTTCAGGACATAGAGGGGGGGGAATGCTGAGCTGCTTCTATGAAGAGTACGCCGTTCAAGCAATCTCGGGACCATCTGTAGTACATATATCCAGGATTTGCCGATTTTGCTGAACTGTGCAGAGCGGTAGTCAAATAAAGGTTCTGTTGGAATATCGTTCCATCAGCCTGCCTATCCCGTCTGCGTCCCTCTCGTTCCTATACTCTCTCCTCTCTTCACCGTCAGAGTCTCTCCTTCCGACACACACTCTCTTCGTGCCATGACTGAATCAATCATGAAAACGGGATAGTTCGCAACAGTTTTTCTTGCCTTTTTGTTCAACTTCAGGATCAAAACACCCACTGCCCCACATTTGGTCCACGCCCTGTTTAGCTAAAATGTTCCTTTAGCCATCCTCGAAGAACAAGCTCGTAGGCTGTAGTTCTGTTATCGATTGAAAAGATGGACGGAAAACTTACTGGAAAAGTACTCTAGAACAAGAATAATGGGGCTGTAATGCAATGCGACTCCGTAAATTTCGCCGACATTCTCATGGCGAAGTGATCGCAGTAGGCGAGCTTCACTCATCAAATGAGCTCGATCCTCTCGACTACACTAAAATATTCCATTATTTCAATTGGAGGAATGTTCCTCAGCCACAATCCGCGCTATAGATGCACAACTTGCCGATATTCCTATTGTCTTCATGAATGCTGGGCGAGTGATGTTATTTTCTGTACTAACTCTCCTATGAATTCTTCTACATTATGATGTTTGCCGAGGCTCTGAACAATAAAAATAGGTAAAAAAAATGAGTGTAATATTATAGTCAAGGTGGATGCTACGATGAAAAGGCAGTCCATCGTAAATTAGGTTAGAAGT